ACACGCCTGCAAGGTCACCGGTGATTGGTGTCCGTTTTACGGCTACCGTTCATATTGGCAATACACTAAATAAGCTCGGATTCCTCGCATCTAAACCGTATTGCGGTACCAATCGAAAGTAAATAAAAAATGGCTGCTATTAAAATTATCTCCAAAATATATAATTCTTGTTATGTACTCTGTGCATACAGATGCCTAGATAAAAGTGTAAAAGAAATGGAAAAAGAGAGTAGAGCTGCCTCGACTGAGAGGAAACAATAGGTCTTCTGGGGGCTTAGCGTAAGTTTTCAAATAAGTAAACTTAACTAACACGTTTGCGTTAAGATTTTAATTTAAACTTCATCTACCAGCTATAAACTCCACCTTCGCTAGAAGAGTTCCAAAATTCATGTATCCGTATATATACAATAGAGTTAACACCTTGTACAGCGTCAAGCTCTGCTCAAATTCGGAACTTAAGCATAGGGTCAATAAGTTGCTACGCACGTTGACATACAATGAAATAGAGGACTTGCTAAAGGAGGTGCGCTAGTTCACTGCCTCAATCCTTAATTTATACACGTGCAAGCACGCACACACCCACCGACTCACATGCACGCACGCACGCACACATACACGCCTCTTAATAATAAACAATGACAATGTTTTTATCGATTACCTGCGAGACAGGCTTTACCTAGTGCAGGAATCGTAGGAAATTCTCTGTACGCGATATATGCTACAATTGAGTTGTGTTACCTGGTTCTTTGTCGTAACTAAATTGTAATGTGCCTGCACAAGTTCATTTGTAAAATAAATTATTTTGTATTTGTATTGTATTGTATTTTGTATAAGTATACAATTAAAATAAGATCTTAACGCAAACGCGATAGTTACGTTCGAATGATTACAAATTTACATTCAGGCCTCTGGTGATTATGAGATCTCCGAAACACGAGCCTTTGCAACAGTAGGAAGTCGTATTTAAGAGAATGATTGTCGAAATGTTGATTAAATGACTTCCAATGTTTTGCACGTTCACTGACGTCGAGAGAGGAACAGACTTGCTAATACCAATTTTCTCACATGAAGTAGAGCTGCTCGGTCGGCGTAAGACGCGGGTGCAGCAGCGGCCATAGCCGGCTTATAACAGGTTTGCACTGCAAATAGCGACACGCGGTCATTATTCAAGTTCCTCAGAAAGGCGAATGCCGTCGCACCGGTCTGTGTCAAACATTTCATGAAGAGCCGTGTTAGATTGTTTTCTTAATTAAAATTTGAATGTAGGGTCGTTCGTAAATAAACAAATACCGGGCCCGGAAAAGCGTTACACGGATTTCGTAAAGTGGCGAAACCGAGTCCGACTAACAAATAGAAGACTAGTCAACGAAATTCATCATCCGACAACGTATCCACTACACTACTGTCCGTTAATAAATGTATACCGACCTCCACCAAGCCTCTGTCATTGCGGCACGGTACCAAAATTACGAAAAGCACTGGGAGATTTGCACTTGGCTGTTTTTACAAAATGATATTCGTGTTACGTAGAAGTGTGAGCGCCGTAAATGTCGAAGTCCTTATTACTAAAAAACGATTACAATAGTTGCCAAACGTATACGAATAGGGGCTTAAGCCAGTCCGCGTCGATTGTGGGTCGGGACAGGGTTGACCCATTTTAGGCCCCGAGGTGGCGCGCTCGGTGTTCCTGCGTGCCCCACTTAGTGATGAATGGGGTGAACTTTCTCCAGCGCCACTCTAACGGGAAGGGCCCTCGGCCGACGGCCAGCGCCGTCGCGACTGCGGAAGAATGCGAAAGCAAAAGGCGCAGGGACGGAACGCCGCGGGGTTCTAGTCGGTAGGAGCCCGACATAATCTCGCTGTTGCCCCCGCAGCAGAGAGATATAATAATAAATAATAATAATAAATTTATTCATAGAACTTAAAACGTTACAAAGTATAAAAAGTGCATAATAAAAGAAAATTACAGCCATTATCAGAACATATGAAAGCTGGCACTTAAAAAAAGAAAACTTAAATGTCTACATGAGGATTTCCCCACGTATAAAAAAAAGAAAAAAGGGTTAACCCATTTATTGCATAATCTAAATAATACCAGCGAGTGACTTCTTTCCTAAATATTCTCGGTTGCAGGTTGCTACGATTTATGAGAGGCGGATTGTTTGTTCAACGAGATGAAAAATATTGGGCCTCGATTCAGTGTAATTACTTCCGGTGTAAAGGCGCGTACTTGAGCTGCTATTTTGTAAGTCGACACCTTTACGACACACGCGTGGTACTGCAGCAACAACTCGATGCCATCCTGGCTTTGTGCTGGAGACTCTCCCTATTTCATATTTACGAAACGTTAGCGTTCCAAGAGACAACCTCCCTTGATGCGAAGGAGTCGATTTCGGTATAAGGCAACGTTCATTTCCTATTCTGCTTTCTCTTTGAGACATATCATAAGAAGCGCAATAAAGAAAGTAATAGAGACGTTACGCGAGTATTACGAGCGAGATGTCGCGGCGACGGCGATGTGTAGTGTGATTATGTAAAGCGCGAAGGCGGGCGGTGTGGTGCGACTGACGGCCTCTGGGAGTTGTTTTTTGGGAAAACACCATTGTCTGACGCACTACACACACCACTTCTTGCCACCGTTAGAAAGTGCCGATGCCATTAAGGTAATTGCTAATTATTAACCGTTAAACTTTACGCCGGAGAGTCGCGAGACTGTCTTGGCGCGCTCGTTTATACGTAGAGTCGCATTAGGACAACACCGTCTGAAATATTGACCACACACAAGCGCGCGTCGGCTTACCAACGCACGACCCCAAAAGAAGTCGTGTATGAGACCAGATCTGGACACACTAGTAGACCAACATTTATCATAGAATTTATCACGGCCACGTTAAGAGATGAGTTGAAGCGTGTTCGTGCGAGGCACGCGGGCCGCTCGACGATTAGCGCCCGCGAACAGGGGCGCCCGTTACTCGCGTGGCCCCCGGCTCCTAACCCGCGCTCCTCCTGCCGCGCAACGCTACTTTCACACGACAACATTCGTGATAACTCTCGGATCGGTCGCAACGATCGCTAAGTACCCACTAGTACATTTAGTAGACCTTGTCGATAACAGAGCAGAACAACAAGCTTGCTCGCCGTTAAATACGTAAACAACACTGTTATGTAAAGCGTGTCGCTCCTTGTGGTTTTTGCGTTGCCGAGGGAGTTCCAATTATTTCATACTACTTCCTCTTCTGTTAATTAATTCCGCGCGTGCTCGACGAACCGGCGACGATGTAGATACAACAAAACCCAGCATCGCCGAGCAGCCGTTGCGCGTTGCCAAACGTACGGGTCCATTGTCGCCCCGTGACAGTGCTGTGGCGACGTTCAAACGATGGACGATAGAGCAGCACCGCAACGAAAATCCTAATCGCCTACTCCCGCAGACGGCGTCGGGCACTCGGGTGTGTATACACATCGACGAATAAAGAATAAAAGTTATAAAAATATAAAAGGTATAAAGAAATAAAAACTGGAATTTCGATATCAATTATGTAATGATTTAATTTGTGATAAAGCAAAACAGCAAATGCCTAAACAAGTTATTCGACGAAAAGGGGGCCGATCTCATTAACATTCCGCGTAATGCGCGGAGGGCACTTTCTTCGATCGGCGATCGGTCATCTGCCGAAACCGAGAGTGGCATTCGATGCGGGTTTCGATCGGGGCCGGTTTCACCCGCGACCCGCGCTCCGCCGCCCTGTCACCGCTTTCACCGTTTCTAGAAACTATTTTTATGTTTGCATATACGGGATTGCGCAATCCTATGATAGATTTCACGCATTTTACAACGGCCACGCGGCAGGTGGAGAGTCAGTCGATCGAAAAAACGCAGCGATCCGTGTAACGGCCGCGGTTCGACCGTACGCGCGGTACGGTCCCAATTGGCCCGACGACGCCGCAAACCAGCGCAGTTACGTAATTCATTACGCGATGTGTGGCAGAGAGTCGACGGTGCATTCGCGTCACGGGAGACGTGACCGTGTGATATGTGAAGATGTAACTGCGCGAGAAGGTAACGGTCGGCGTCGGCGCGCGCGCAGCGAACCGCGACCTCGTATTGTGCGCCTCCGTCTCTACACTAGATCCCACTGTTTGGTCATAACCCATCGCCGCTCGTGCGAGAGATCTTTCCTGTCTGTTTGTTTTTGTATCGACCGTACATGTCCCACTGCCGGGCGAGCATCTCCTTCGAGGCCAGGCCAGTCTTCCGTTTCGTAAACTTAATAAATAATAGCGAAGCAGTCGGTTCATTATTCATTATCCCCATTCAAATAAGGCTTTCATATTTCTTATATTTTGTCATATGAGTGCGATTTCGGCAACGAGAGCGCTGAGTGAGCACTTCTTCGACTCTTAGTGAGACTTACAACTTCTGTGGTTTTTTCTTTTTTTTTAATGTTTTATATAATAAGTTAGGTGAATTGTGCACCCAGATTCCTTATTGTATTTTTACTTGTGAGGATCTTTAATTGGCTCTCAGTTGTTATTATTGTTATTTAATTTAGTTTTAAAACTTTGATCTTCCTTTAAATAAATATCGGTTCGTACCCTCGCTGTTAGGTGGAGAATCAACGTATTAATGAATGATAGTACTTTTAAGCCAGAAGCTCAAATTTTTATACTTGGTTCAATAATTTTTTAACATTTTAAGCAAGCAGATCGCTTTCGGTCGCGGCATGACAAAATAGTAGAAATTCTTAGCTTTTGCGTTCCGTATACGAAAAGAAATGAAAAAAAACAAATGACCGGTGTCGCGCAAAGGAAGTTCTCGAATATAACATGTAATGTATTATTTTATTTACTCGCAGTCGTAGTGAAAAGGGAGCGTTGACTTTCATTGCAGTCGTCGATGTTACCTGGTTTATTAAAAAAAAGTCAGAAGTGGACTCACTGTCTAACAATAATACCGTAATCAGAACAAGTATTTAGTTGGCAGAAGCGGAGTGACTCACCTTCAAGCGGTCGCGGCGGCCGGCACGCAGAACAGGGCCGTCGTTCACGATGTAGTCGGGCACCTCCTTGCGTGTGGAGAAGTTGAACACCACCGAGGTGGCGGCGGGCGGCGGCCGCGGTCCCCGTGAGCCCACGCCCCACTTTACTTCGCCGTTGCCGTTTGCCCTCGACTCGACAGCGGCTTTCCTGTCGCCGGCGCCGCCGCAGGTGCGGTCCGCCGCGACGCTGTCGAACCGGGGCCCGCCGTTTACGGTTTTCTCTTCTCCGCTGTCCGCGTAGCCGTTCACGAGAGATTTCGGTTTCGCAGTCGCATCGGGCCGGGGTCGCACGGCCGGTCTGGCGTGCGGGGGGTCCGCGCCGACGAGCGGCGAGACCACCGGCGGCTCGTCGGGCGGCAGCCGCGGGACGGGCTGCACCGCGGCCGACGGCGGCGGCTGGCGTTCGTCCAGGACGCGATCGGCGGGCGCCGGCTCCGCGTCGGAGAGGGGCGGCGTGGGGCTTCGCAGCGGGCCGTCGTGCGGCTCCTCTGCGAGCTTCGCTTCGAGGGGCGGCCGCGGCGGCGCGGCGGTGGCCCGCCCCGTCGCCGGCGCGGGCATCGGGCGGATGACGCCGACCCGTCGCGCGCGGCCCAGCATCACCGGGTTGGTCGCGGCCAAAGGCGGCAGGTGCCCTCCGCGTCGCGGCGCGTCGAAGGCGTAGCGCGTGGAGGAGCCGGCGCGGGCGATGCCCTCGAGCGCGGCGCGCGTCACCGGCCGCGCCGCCTCGGCCGCGGCGGGCGCCGAGGGCGCCGAGGGC